AAAAGAGGGAAAATAATGGTGTATTCTTCATTGTTGTGATTACTAAAGAAAATTTTTGGAAAGCACTTAACATGGTGCCTACTAAGAGCTCTGTAAATATCACCTCTTATTATTATTAATGGTATATCATTAAAGTGCCAAATTCTTGGTATGTTCATACTCTAAAGAACATAAAAGTTGAAATTTTAGAGGTTTTTTTTTTTTCCTTTTTTTTCCCAGGATGGATTGTTATGCAAAACCAATATTTCTTCTAGGAAAATGTCAGCTCATAGTCAATTAATTAAAACATTTTGATAATGTAGTCAAAGGTTAGAACTGAATTTTATTATTTATAGTAAAAAGTATTGATATGACAAATATATAAGCCAAATACATTAGTAGTTTTTAACCCATGGAAAGAAATGATTATTTTGAAGCAGGATAGCTTTTTCAGTCTTTACTTTTTTTTGTTTCATATGCCTTCTACACATGCAAGAATACAGAACATTCAAATAGTTTCTGAGGAACTTATAAATATAAAGCAGAAATTTAGCATTGAAAGTAGATATTTCTTCACTTTCAAACTACATCACCTCCAAAAAGTCTAACAATATTTTTTTCTCATTCTCTTAATCTGGTGGAAAATAGCTTAAAAGAATGGGTCTGGCCTGGCCTGGTGGCTCTCTCCTGTAAACCCAGCACTTTGGGTGGCTGAGGCGGGCAGATCACTTGAGGTCAGGAGTTCGAGACTAGCCTGACCAACATGGAGAAACTGTCTCTACTAAAAATATAAAATTAGCTGGGCATGGTGGTGCATACCTGTAATCCCAGCTACTCAGGAGGCTAAGGCAGGAGAATCACTTGAACCCTGGAGGTGCAGGTTATGGTGAGCTGAGATCATGCCATTGCAGTCCAGCCTGGGCAACAAGAGTGAAACTCCATCTCAAAAAAAGAAAGAAAGAAAGAAAAAGAGAAGAAAGAAAGAAAGAAAGAAAGGAAGGAAGGAAGGAAGGAAGGAAGGAAGGAGGGAGGGAGGGAGGGAGGGAGGGAGGGAGGGAGGGAGGGAGGGAGGAAAGAAAGAAAGGAAAAGGAAAAGGAATGGCTCTTTGCATTTTCTTCCTTTTTCCCTTGAGACAGTATCTCACCCTGTCTCTGGACTGCAGTGGTGTGATCTTGGCTCACGGCAACATCTGCCTCCAGGGCTCAAGCCATCCTCCTACCCTAGCGTTACAAGTAGCTGGGACTACAGGTGCATGCCACTGCACACGGCTAATTTTTGTACTTATTATTATTTTTGTAGAAATGGAGTTTCACCATATTGCCCAGGCTGGTCTTGAACTCCTGAACTCAAGCAATCAAAGTGAGAAAATCCCAAAGTGCTGGGATCGCAGGTGTCGGCCACCACTCCCAGCCTGCATTTTATTTCTCATCTTCAATAAATACAAATCCATATATACATATAAGTCTGGTATGTATACATGTAAGTTTGTATTTAGTCTCCTAGAATAAGAAGTTGTATCTAGATATGTGTGTACATATTTTTTGGGATTTTTATATTTAAGTGCAACATCTTAAGGAGAGAGAAAGACGGAGAGGAGAATTGCAACTATATGACGCTTTTTGGTAAGCTAGGAATGGGGGGGGCAATCTGAAAATACCCTCCTTTAATAAGCCATATATCTTTACATAATATGATTCTGAATGCCATTGCACTCCCTTTGTTCTCATTCTGCCTATTCCTTCATCTCCATTGACCTTGTATACACAGTGACATTAGGAATGACATGGGAACCTCACCAGAGTGTTTATCATGTAAATTTGGCAGCTGCTTTATCAAACCACTTGTTGTTAACTAATTTCTTTGGATCCTCAGTTCAGTCTCTAAGAATCAGACATCAATACATACCTTATCTTATTAATTCTTTGGTATAACATTTGAAGGCCAGTAAAATTCGTTGTGCCTGAGACAAATAATCACAGTGATAAGATAACCCAGGAAAAAAGTGAAACGAAGTAAAAACCAAGTGTAACAATGAAATCCTGATAGATTTGAAAGAAAACAGAAGTTAAAAGCGTTCAAAGGTGGAAACCTCAAATAACATTGAGAGCTTTTACAAGATATACAAAAGCATGAGACATAAATGTTGTATAAGTAACATAAATGGACAAAGTAAAATAAAAGCAAAACAATACCTTGTAGCTTTGAGAAAAGAATGAGGTGGCCAGGTATGGAAACTCATGCCTGTAGTCCCAGCACTTTCGGAGGCTGTGGCAGAATAGCTTGAGGCCAGGAAATCAAGAGCAGCCTAAGGACCATAGTGAGACCCTGTTTCTTAAATAATAATAATAATAAATTAAATTACTTGGGCCCAGTGGCACAAACCTGTACTCCTAGTCACACACTGAGCTATGATCATGCCACTGCACTTTATTGTGAGTGACAGAGACTGTATCTCTAAGAAAAATAAATAAATAATAGAATGAATGGAGAAGGCAGGCATAGATGGGACAGAATCTATAA